CCAACAGGCCATACAGTAGCCCTGTCCATCATTAAAGCTATGAATCATGTCTGTGCACTTGCACTGGCTCCCTCAGGGGTATATCATTGCATTGCCCCTTAATCTGGGCAGATTTCCGTGCCGGGTCCACTATATAGGGTTCTGTTTTTAGCATGATGAACAGCTTGCTCATGTTACTCTGCAACTGTACTGCATACCACAATCCTCCCACATTTGCCCTTAAATATGGTTTCAGGTGTTTAGTGAAATGCAAGTAAATGCCCATGAGCCACCTTCAGCAGTGGTTAAACTGAACTTTACCCAGCATGGCTGTTATAGGGAGAATGTTTAGCTGCTTTTAAGCCCTGTTAGCTGACGTTATCACAACCATGGAAAGCACCATATGTGGTTTATGTCGATGTTAAATTAAATGTTGAGGGATTTGTTCCATAGAGAGCAGAGGCTGCAGTTCCGCTGGTAAGAAAGATAAAAAGAATTGATGCCTCCAAGCTGCTTCATGCTGTTTTGGAGGTCAATTGCTTCTTCAAAATACCCCCATTAAACTGTAGGCCCTAAATATAGCCTAGTTTTGTTAGAAAATTGGTATATTCTCTTTGATTCTGGTTTGAATTGCTATGTCAAAGTAATTTATATGCAGGGTTCTTGCTCAGTAGTGATGCAATAAGTTGCAAAGCAATTTGTCGAATCGGATTCTTCATGCTGAGAAAAAGAGGGCAAAGGAGAAATAGCCTGTCTCAAGTCAGCCATTTAACAACATGATTACATACAAGCATGTCTCAGCATGTATGTACTTGTCTTAAAAAACCCCAAAAAAATGCCCGGGGGGAAAAGGTGTACGATTTGGAAGGTGTAGTCAAGGGATTAGTCATGGTATTAGAACAAGTTTCCATTTAATCCTCATACTGCAGAAATCTGTCTATTTTCTTACTATTTGTCCATCCATCTGTTACACTGATTTCCATACCCTTTGGACAATGCATGAATGGTCGGTCACCATTGTAAACCAGCTGCAAATGTTGAGAAACAAACAAGGTTGACAAAGAAACAATAATATAACCATGCGCAAACAGTGCCTTGTGCAGAGAAAGTGAATGGATGAATACACATCAAACACCGAGAATGATTTTAAATGCAACATGCACACCATATTAATATTAAGTAGAGGATATCCTGTGTCACTTTCATTTTTTAATTCAGCAACACAGTGGCTTGTAGATAACTTTCAGTCTTTGTATCTATCTGGGTAAAATGTTGATTTTCTTGCTGGCTGAGGTTGTTCGAGATGAGATGCCTTTTCTGTGAACAGCTCTTCTCTGTATCCCTCATTGAAAATGCTGTTGCTTTCTTTTGGAAAGCTGAGATGCAGCGTTGACCCCTCTTAGAGAAGAAGAGTGTTGTTGTAGAGCAACGGCCCCCCTCTCCTACCCCCGCCTGTCACTTCAGACAGCCTCTCACTGGAGAGCTCTCTCTCAGATCAGCACTAAACTCTCTCCTTAGTCTCAGGAAGTGTTGGAGGAAGCACTCTCAGCCTCGTAGGCTTTTCTTGGACTCCTAGGTCTCATTGCATATTCATAGCCCCCTCCACAGTCAAGGGTATCAAGTTTAAAAAAAGAAAATAAAGACATCCAAGGTTAAATTATTTACTATAATATTGTTAATATTACCTGTAATTGTAGAAAATATATTAAGGTTTAAACATTAATGATTCATATTTAAAAACATTGCTTTGTTCATGTAGACAGTGAAATGTTGCTGCTGCCTTTGACCATCAGCATGGAGGCCATTTTCCCATGAGCTCAAACACTTGTATGCATCACTCTCCATTGCCACACAAATAATGCAAAGACACTTATCGCCGTAAGTGGGAAATTGAAAGCCTGCAATTTGTCATTAGATCTTAGAGCACTTGATGTGTCCCCCTGAACAACACTTTCTGGTGTTGTGTAAATTCAGGGATGCACACCACCAAATATTACACTTGAGCAGTCAGTCTTTTTTAAATAATGACATTTATTGGAATGAGGATACACTACAAGGGACATTAATCACCATAGCTGCAGTAACAAAGTTGTCTTTCATTGAGCTGAACTCATAAAATACTTGCATTGTGTAAATAGAAAGTTAACAGAAAATGCTAATAAGTGATTATGCACCTCTAAATAAGTACCTCTTAGAATTGCAGTTCTGCCATTTTTTGCAATATTAAAAGTTTTTTAATAAAACACAGAAATGTAGTAGTTGTAGTTAGTCAGTAAGTCTTTCTAACACAAACAAAATTCACAGGCCTAGTCAGTTTCACAAATGCAGCAAGCCCACCTTTAGGTGCTCTTAAGGTTCTTTGGCCACTCTTAGGCAGAGCAAGGAGCTCACTTTATTTAGTCTGGTATAATGGTTTGAAATGCAGCTTGGTGTTAACGTCTCAGGGTCTTCCTTAGGTTACTTACAGTGTATTGTCTGTTGTACACAGTACAGTGTGTAGAGCTGATTGTGACCCATCCACCAAACAGTAGATGTTGCCGTGGGTCAGTGTGTTTTAACACTCAGATGACATCAGTGCCAGTCCCATGAGTGGCCTACAAAAAAAAGCGGAAGTAAGTGATTCCTGCTGTTGGCGGGAACCTCTGCACCCTGTGCTCCCCCTGATTAATAGCCAACATGTCTTGCTGTGCAGCCTTGCTCTGCCATGGCTTGGGGTTCAGACTGAGAACGAGGCAGTGGCTGACAGTAGTGAGCTATTTGCTGCTTTGCTCCACGGGAGGTAATGAATCGGTGTGGCTGCCAGGACTGAAGTGTAGACAGCAGGAGGAAGAAAAGTGATCAGTCTTTCAGGGTGAGGCACCACTTGTCCAGCATGCAGGCCGCTGATAGGAGGAGAGAGACGGAGCATGAAAGAGAGGGGAAGGGAGGGAGAGAAGGTCCATGTGAGAGAAGGAGGAGATCAAGGTGAGAAGGGGTAAAACAGGAGAAACAGCCATTGAGAGAAAGCACCAAAGAAAGGGAGAGAGAGGTCGAGAGGAAGAGAAAGCAGGTACAAACAAAGGGAATGTGCAGCTACAGACAGTAAAGCGAAAGAGAAAAATGGGTGAGAAGGTGGGGTGTCACCCAGTCTGTGTTAATATTCCTGGGGAAATTCGCTCCCTCTTCCCCTACAACACTCCTTAAACCACCACAGAGGGGGTTCATTATTCTCACTTTACTCCTCCTCTAATTATCGTTATCATTATGGGGGATAATTACCATTTCCTTGCCTAACACCCATGTAGCCTACTCGGCTCTGAGTCACACACAAGGTTATCAATAGCTGCTCAATTGCAGTCTCATCTGCCTAATTATACGATTTGGGCTTTGTGATAACTGAATAGGATGTGAAATCTAGTATTATGCCTTGTGAGTACTCGTGGCAAGTCAGCAGAAGGGCTGAAATAAACCAATGCGTGTGGAGCCTGTTAATTAAAAGCTGTGGCTTTCATTGGAATATAAATCAGAGGAAATCCAAGGTTATGAAACAACTGGAATTCTTTAAATGTCCTGCAAGCTTGGTCAGAGCCGCGTACATATTGAACGTTAAACAAAATCCTGTGAGACGTAACTTCAGATCCTCTATCTTTGATTTCCTTCACTCATTACTTACAACACATTTCTCAAAGAACTCGTTATCGGATTTGTGGGGCTCTGTTTTAATTTCTTCACTAGGATCTACTTCCAGTTAACCCACACCATTAGCACCAATTCAATCCCTTCATGTCACAATATGAATGAAGAGCCACAGCAGCAAGCAATTGTTCACCAGGCTATGTATTACTGTTGCTGGCTGTGACTTATACTAAGCTTAGTAACCGTGTTTGTCGAGGGGGTTTCTAAATCCCTCTGTGGCATTTTGGAGTTGCAGCTGACGCCTTGAACCTGATGAATGCTCTCTCCATCTGCTGCAACTCAACACTGGAGCACAAGACTGACACAGGCCTAATCAGTAGGAGAAATTCATTAGACTTGTTCTCTGTCGCTCTGCGTACCGAGAGAGGCAGAGCTGAGATTAGGTCAGGAATGGAAAAGAGGGCATGAGAGCATGGGTACAGAGGGTACGAAGAAGAGGGAAAATAGGTGGCTGTGGGAATGGTTCAGTAAGCGTGTGACTGATCAGACTGGTGGAATGTGTGCCACAGAGGACCTCATGACAGACAGGAGGCATATTCTCTTTGACCCCAATTACCAGAGGTGTTTCTTTCCACCAGCTAATCCATGGCATATAGGGTGGCCCCTCCTGTTGTTTTTCCTACAAGTCATATGGACAATGGCATAGTTCTGCTAACCAGGATATAGACTGACCTCCTAAAACAACACAGTCAGACTCTTTGCAGTAGGCCTACAGCTAATTTGTATTTTTATCATTGATTACTTTGTCAGTTGTTGTCACTGTTAATTGGTGATACAATGTCAAAAAATAGTCAAAAAAGTACCACACTCAAAAATGTTGATTTTAAAATTATATAAAACAACAAAAAGCAAATTCTCTTATATGAGATGCTTTACCCTGTATTCTTGCTTAATAAATAATGTGAAAGGTCAATTCATTATAAAAATGTGTTATTCAAATAATCATTTCAACACTTTCTCTATAATGCCTATGTGGATAATTACCTATTCTCAAAATATACACAATTTGTTGATTTGAATCTGCTGTTATAGAAAACTTTTAAAAACCTGTTAACAACATTATAATATTTACTGAAATATTATAAAAGGGCCTATGAAGCTCTTCTGCTTATATTCTGCTCCTCAAAATGTTTAAGAAATAATTTATTTTGCTTATTTGTTTATTACTCTTTGATAATTAGAATTTTTTCTCTACAGAATTTAAATGGATGGAATTTCCTATCACTTTATAGAATAAACTGATATTCAGCCTCTCAAAATATTTGTGTTAATCATTCAACCGCAGCAACGTTTTCATGTTGTCAGACGATTTTCTGACCACCGTCTCTCCTTAATTCTTTCCACAGAGACACTTATGGACTCTACTACAGCCACAGCGGAGCTCGGCTGGACGGTCTACCCCGTGTCAGGATCAAGTGACAATAGCGTAAGTGACATTCTGTACTTTCACTGTGATCTGCTTCTAATAATCAAGATTTGATTAAATTATTAGTAAATAATAAGAAACGAATTTTAGGACATTTTCATTGTGACAGAGATGAAGTGTGAGGTGGCCCTCTCTTTTGTTAGAAGTAAAAGTGCAGCTAATGTGTAAATTTGCTCAGTCCCCCATGATAGCTTTATTTCTGTCTCTGTTTTGGTTTCTCACTCTAAGGTCAGAGATCAATTAATGGGCCTGCCTGGTCCCCAGAGTGAACTGAATCAGTTGCCCAAACAGCAGCAGACAGATACAGAGCAGATACTACCACTTTTTCTTTTTAAATATTACTATGGTTCATCAAAGATACAAATAATCACTAGCCCCATTTTCTTCTGGAATATTGTCCCATAAATGATCTGAGTTTGTACATTTTAACCTGATCTGAACTTTCTGGTTCATGCAAACACAGAAAGAACAATCATAAACTTCACTAAATACGTGTGTTCATATGCCAGACTAGAAGCTATGTGTTATATGGACCCTGTTGGTGTTTGATGCACAGTATTTCCACATGGTTTGCCAGGGCATTGGTTCCTCCTAGCCACATGCAAGCCAGGCCCACTTAAAGCCAGCCAAAACCAGAGTCTCAGTCTCCTTCACTTCTTTCCCCACCACAAGATTTAGACTTCTTAGAATGGGTCCAAAAGAGATGAAAAAATGTTGTAGACTTATTTGCTGGTGCATTTCAAAAAACCACTACCAATTTTATTCAATTATTTATGCTTCTGTGGTTTGTATTAAAGATGGTTTGAGTTAGACTCTATCATGCTGTGTCTTTTTGCACTTAAAAGAAGCCAAAAAATGGCAGCATAGAGAGTTGGACTTCAACAGTTCCATGATACAACTTCAAAGTTGTTCTGCAACAACTTCATCTCTCCCAACCTGAGGGCATGTTTTCTCCTCCCTGCTAATTCCTACAATCAATACCAAAGCAAAAAGACGCCTGGTTTCCTTTTCTCTCGCCAGCTCTGGATCAGATCTGCTTACGCACACATACCGACTTACATCACATCTTCCTTTCATCTTTGCAAAATGTTATATTCTGCAAAACATTCACTCAACCCATATTTCATAATCAGATTTTATACTAAGTGGAAACTTCAGAAAGTTGAATACTAAGGTGTACTAAGCGGTTGCACAATATTTTGTGTAATGAAAATGCCCACTCTGGCCAAAGTGAGGTGAATTTAAGGTCTAAACATTAAACTATCTAGACCTCTAAGCTCTTCCAGAATCATCTTTGTTCCAGTAAAATGTTGTGTACCGACGGATTCTGTGGTAATTTTCTCTTTAGATTTTACTGAAAGGGTTATCTATGAGGACTCTTATTTCCTGCTTTTGACTTCAGATAATTCCATGTGCCTTTCTGAAAACCTCCACATGCAGTTGTGATATATCTCTCTCTTGGAGTGCAATGAAATGCGAAAAAGTCCCTAAGCCCCTGGATTTTGTCAGGTATAAGTTGGCCTTATCAGCGTGGGCACTGAAGTTTTAAGATGATATGGCAGAGCTTGTCCAAAGCACAATCTGTTGGAAAGTGAAGATTGAGAGCAATGGAGAAAGCTTGTCCCTTATGGCCCAGGGCAACAGGTGTGGAAACAGAGCTCGCTGTCCCTCTCAGTATAACAGCAAGAGGTGCTTTACAGAAGCTATTGTCTTACACACATATATGCATGGCTTCATGGGCTTAGCTGGTGGATCAGTAACATCCAGCAGAGCACCGAACCAGCAGTTGGCTTTCACTACTCTGTATAGCTTCATGAAATATATCCGAACTTGACATGTGATACTATGCGACACAATGGAAATGCAAACAAGTAATAGTAGGATATTAAGTCAGAAATGTTATGGCAGTTGGTGTTATTCCACTCTTTTATTTTACAGCATATTTGAATATCGCCTATCAAATTATTATTATTATAAGAAATTTCTTACAGCTATGAAATCAACTTCCTAGATTAGGTGTTTGAAAGTGATTTGTGTAAAACAAAATTACAGTTCATCTTCTGGAAATCAAGTTTTATGACCCTCTCTTTGTATAGCCTTGCAGTCCTAACTTTAAATTATGTAAAGTGACAACCAAACTGCTGCTTGGTTGTCACTTTCCATGAGCCAGACAAGCAAGACATCTTCATTATTCTTGATAGCAATGCCAAAAACACCGCCAACAAGTGTACTATTTACCAAACTAGAATTTGTCCTGGAGCAGTTTAGGAAGTTTACTATTTTACTATTCTAACATTCTGAGATTCTGGCAATCATATGCCTATCACATGCCTCACACCACCCACACAGGGAAACTGTTGCAGTCAGTATAGTTGGACTATCATTTAAATCTGTGTCTCTGGGCAACTTTGCGAATACTTAACCCTAAGTTCAATAAGGATAATATACAGGATTTTATGCTAACTTTTTTCTCAAGGACTACATTTGAAAGAAATTTAGGAGCTTGATGAGAAATGTTCAAGTAACACAGAGTTTATTAACAAACTATTAATTATTGTCTGAGTGTTTATGTGCTCCTTCTCCTTGTCTGCAATTATGTTGTAAAAACCAGTGGAGGGCTTTACATTACCCCCAACCTGGAGGAGGAACTCGTACAAATGAGTGTATTAGTATAATATTATAACATTAAATAATCGAAAATATAATGTTCATTTAATAGCTTACTGTATAATATTAATATGGTAATTATTTGATGCTAGTATAATATTAATTCCTGTTACAGCAGTTTCAGTTTATGGGTTGTTTTCCTTCATTAAATCCTTGTGCAAGAAAAATGGCCTACATTGATGTTGGTCTCTAATTTGTTAATGCTAAGAACTACCTTGTCAATAATCATAAACCCTGATAAATACCTGCCGCTGTCACAACAAGTTTGTATTTTGGTTTTACATATTGACCAGCAGAATACATTGAAAAACATATTTTAAAGGGGAAAAAAACTACCACCGCCATGTACATTTCTTCTAAGTTAACATCCGCAAAGAAGCTTGTACAGCTCCTTTAACATTGGTCTATGTAAAGTTACTCAGAGATGTTGACCCAGTGAGAATCTGCTATGTGACATGGAGCTCATGTATGACCAGCAGAGCAGGGTTAAGTGGTCAGTGTTTTCTTCTCAAGAGGAACTGAGAGACGTGTGAACGTCAGGTCAGACCTCCTGACCCACTCTCTCCTACGCTGAAGTACTGACAAGAGCAGCTATTTAAAAATAGACTTATGGCCACAGGGAGCACACAGAGCCACTGTGGAAGGAAAACTGAGGTGTCCTGCAAAGGCAGAGAACATAATGAGGTGGTGTGTGCATGGGTTAGTTCATCATTATGGATGTGTCATAATGTTGTACCTAGATATATCTAGTCTCACATGGGGACACACCATACAGCAGAGTTTTGCACAAAGGCAATATGCAGTGCATGTTGCAAAATAAAGTTTTTAGGCAGTTTTTAGACAAAGACACTGCATATTGTATTATAATTCCTCTGGAATAAGATTGAGGTTCTTTACATATAATTGTGGGCATGTGTGGCCTACCAACATGGGATACTTTTTTTCACGTACACTTTCTTTTTCTTTAAAAGTAATTTGTTGAACATATTTCATTATATTGGACTCACTGGAATTTAAATTGACTACTAATTTGTGACTGTGACTGTGGTACACAATTAAAACCCATTGCTTGTTATGTGAAATTATACTTATGAAAAGAAGTAAAATGAATTATACAAAGAAATATGCAAACAGAATCCACATGTAACATTGTGGAACTGGGTAAAAGATGGAATTGTTCTTCTAGTTTCACATGTTGTGCATTAGTAGTGGACAGTGGTAATTGGAGTTGACTGCAGCAGACAGTTCTACTTAAGTCTGTGTGTGTTAGTCTCTCCTCTCTGTGTAGCCCAGTCTCCTGCAGGATTTGGCTCCCATGGCCTCTCTTGTAGTAATTGAATGCAGAAAGTGGGTGTCATTTGTCCTCTGTCCCTCAAGGGAAAGAACTCTTGCTCTGACAGATTTCCCATAACTGCAAATGGGACGACTGTGCCCCGGGAGTTTTCCACAGGGTCTCTCTCCCTGCTTTTGTGTGAATAATTTATTTACTTCTGTCAGTGATAGAGCGGTGATATGTAATGTGACTCTGGAATGTGGAGCTAGTTCAGGTTAATTCAAACACTGTAATGACAAAACGTGATAAATATGCAGTTCATGTTATGGCAAAACAATGAAATCGTTAAATCTTTGACTGTTCTGACAGTGTGTTCACACAGCTACTTGACTGATGTGTCACTATTCTGACCAACTGTGGGTTGTGGAACCGGCTGTTTTCTTTTGTAGTTGTCTTGTGCATCTATATCTGCATCTAACCTTTATATAGCCTATCACAAGTAAGTTAATTTTGATTAATATAAAGGTAGAAATAGATGAACAGATGTACAGGAAATTGAAAGATCTGACAACTTGATTGTGTTGCTTGCAGTATAAATTCTATGCATTATAAGCGCATAGACTAGCAGTTCTAGCAGAGCAATATAACGGGTGACATATCACAAGCTATGTGTCTGTTTGCAGACTCTTGGTTGCTGGTGCTTGCCTGACTGTCCTTGTAAGTGGACGTCCTTCGACATGAGGCCAGTCTCAAGGTTTCTTTGTATGTTTTAATGCAGGATGTGTGTTTTGTGTTGTTTTCCTTTAAGATTAATGGTTAGAAGTTGTGGATTTTAATTAATACAAATGCAAGATGTGAATGTAAGATAGGAAAGTGCACAGTAGCTCACCCATAGTGTGTGCTTACACATTATGGGTGATTTTGGTAATTAATTGCTACAAAGAGGTCCAAGGAGTACTTGTTTCATCGTTTCAACTGGTGAATGAGGCACGTTCCACTTGGATTTACAGAAAAAGCCCAGAGACCCACTGTCATGGAGATATATGGATTGCAGGTCAGCTGAACTTTTCTTTCTCTCCCCTGGAGTGGTGGAGGAGATATTGATTCTGAACCTCATTCTCAGTGAGCGTCAGTGAACTGTAGCACCTCATATAACACCAGAGGAAGAGAAAAGCAGCTGACATATGGCAGCCTCTACTAACCATGCCATAGTCTAACCACCACAGTCTATATTCACTTCAGACAGGTTTTCTGGGCAGGGCATTTGTCTGTCTACATTGCTGCTCTAGCATAATATAAATCATCATTTCGTGGATCCAAGGCAGGTCTGGGTAAGTAGTTTTATTTACAAAGTAGAGATGGCCTGATAACAGTTGAAACTGTTGAAAATCATTTTAACTGGAAGGATGATAAAGTTGCAGGAGTTTGTTATGGGGAAAGTACAATGGCATTGCACATGCTTTATCTAAACTTAAACAGCCGGTGTGCGCTCTTATCAGACAGATTCAGAGTAGACTGTCCAGTACCCTGTTTTTAAATGCAAATTTAGTTATATATGAGAGTAATCGCCTAGCAACTGGCTTTTTGGTATCATTCCTCTAACACTGAAACTATAATCAATGTAACAGTTACTAAGTGTGACAATTGGCTTGCATGTTTGAGGCATCAAATACCATATGCAGGTGCATTCCTAGTGTTTGTTTTAGTTGGCTAGGAATAATGGATAGGCAACACCCAGTAGGTTAAACCAAACAAGTGTTAGCAAATAATTTGCCTACACTATTCAACCCAGAATTATTAGACACAGGACCCCAACGAGAGCAATTAAAACATAAAACAGTCTTTTTGCTTGGAGCCAGTGGTGCATTCTGTTTCACACCATTTGTTCCTTTTAATCGTGAGAGTATGTTTCTGTGTGTGGTGTTTCTCAGAGAAAGCAGGCACATCTAGTGTACTGTGAAAAAAGCCATTGCTTGTTATTTACCTTGAAGTTATACAGTCTTAGGTCAAATAACTAAATAACTAAAAAAAAATAGAAACTAAATGCCCCAAATATTTCACAAATGCAAATTAGCTTTTCATAATATTTGGTATGCCCTTGGTTATTAAGAAAATGCCTTTGATCATTCTGGTCTGTTTATTATGTTATAGTAATGCACTGTTCAGTGCACTTAGCCCTATGGCTGTTGTTCCACGCACTCAGAGCAAGAAAAACAACCTTTTGCCAAATGTAACAACTCTGTTGAAAAAGCTGGAGTTTTGCTTCCATCATCATCTGAGGGCAGCTCATCCCCTCTAACTAATCCATCTTGACATCCACCACCAGGGTTACCTCCACCTTCTCTACTTAAAACACATGACCACCCTTTTACAGCACTCTCAGTAAAGAGCCAGGGGAAAGAGCTGTGAAAATGAAGACGTTTCTTCTAATTTCACACTCTATGCTTGATCGTTAGGCTCTTATTATGGCCCATTTGCTTCCCTCCACTGGCTGTGATGAAAGCGGGGCAAAGAGGCCATGACAGGACAAAAAGAGGCCCTCCATCAAAACACATTTTGTTTGGGGTCTTTTTTAGCTTGGCTCAACCCTTCCCCCCACATCACTGCCAACACTTTCCCCTGCAGTTTCCCCTGTCTGCATCCCTCATTAGCAGCAACCCCCACCTGCTTCTACATTCATTTTATTAAACTGTGATTGTCCAACGCTCTGTGGTCAGCAGAAGCGGACTGTCCGCTCTTGCCTAATTGGCCCACAGCCTCCCCACTGCTCCTCAACAAGTGGGACGGTCAACTGCTACTCGTGACCTGGGATGGTGATGTCTGCCAGTATGGGCCAAAAGACACATTTATCCTTAAACTAATGTATGATGTATGTATGATTTTAAAGCTACTGGAAAGTACACTGTACATCACTGTACTTACACTGTTGCATCACTTTGACGTGATGCAACAGTGTATCCAGAAAATGTATACAGAAAAATTGGAAGTATAACTATCTAAATGTGTTAACTAAATTTGCCATAGAATCCAACTCTTTTTATTAGTGGACTTGAACCGTACTTAGTTTAAAATGTTGTCTAGTCTTACTTTGCCACAGAGAAATCCTTTTTAACATGAATTATTTTGTGTACAGACATTTATTTACAGTTAAATTCCAATTGTAACACTTCCAATTGTTGAAATATATTTTTTGAAAATTTAAATATTGCTCATTAGGCAAATTTGGAAGAAAGATCCAGTTTTTGTACCATGTAATTATAGTTTTTCGTTTTGTTGTGCTGCATAATTTTTACACTCATTATTAATTTTGGCTGCACATCAGTCTTTACTGGTTAGGTTGGCTCTTGTGATGGTTTGGGTCAAGCCAAGCATCGCACTAGCAGTGATTAATTAGGACATGGGAATTAAGAACTAAAGCTGTTCTAATTAGTCAGAAAGTGTTTGATAGAATGCCTGTTTGTAACAAGAAGGGTGACTTTCTTCCCCCAACCCGTCAAAATCTGTCAAAATCCTCACTAAGTGGGCACTAATTTGAGAAATTATATCAGCAGGGAAGTGAAGAGTGAAGGGGGGAGGTAGAGTGTTAGAAGCAATAGAGAGTGCAGCTGATGCAAAGTGGCTCTTGAGGGTTGAGGACAGGGTTTTTGCTTGGCTGGGATGCCGAGGTCAAGGTCATGACCTGCTTGGTGGTTAGAGTGCATGGTGTTTAAAGCTGGTTTGATCCATGGCCAAGGGGCAGGAAAATCACAGAGGCTGCATCTGGAGTCTGTACAGTCAGAGGACGTGCTCAAATTGGTGTGCAATATGTGGACTTTGAAGTAGAACAGCATACTCTTAAAACCTGGAGTGAAATTTGCCCCTTGATTATTCTTTTTATGATTACCTGTGTAATGTGATTATACCAGTTTAGTATGACTTTGATTGTGGAAAATTGATGTCACGTTTCATCAGTGCTTCACTGTTGTGAACGGAGTTTTCACTACAATGTCAATAACCCATTACAGTATGTGCTATGAATGTGTCCTATTAAGACACAATAAAAAAGTAGGACACACTATCACATTAACCAGAACTCTGCTCTGTTCAAGCGAATGTCACGTCTCCAGTTTCTCTTAAAGCATTACGATGTGAATTGTTTCTTCAGTGGGAGGACAGGGAAGGAGAGGGTAAACGTCAAAACTGTCTGCCTGTACAAAGCAGGGTATATCTTTTTTAAACATGTAATAAGGTTTCCTAAAGGAGAGTTTTTAAAATTAATAATCAAATAAAAACTACATTTAACTTAATTAATTACAGCTACACATGAATTTGAAAAGATTAAAAGGGTGAACTATTGAAATAAGCAAAGTAGGGTCTTAAATGATAACTTCATGATGCCAATTGTTGTTTTGTGGAATGTCTTTGTTTACTTGACAAAACAAATTGGACTAAGGGTCAGAGTACGTAACCTGTAAGTACCCTTGTTTATACCAGTATTACCTCAAGACATGGGAAGACGTGCTGGAAAGGCTGGTTCTCGTTTATTCCTTTAGACTTGTATAATGCATCCATGTAAACTGGGTCACTAGGTTTCTTTGCAGCACATAATCAATTTAATCAAAATATTGCCTGAAGCTGATTACTCCCTGTAATCAAAGTATTATAAAGTTTGCATGAAAACATTCTTGTTGCTGCAAAATTGGTATCAGCGGGGGCTTTATGGTAGATTATATTAATAGGAAACATGCACGACATTTACTGCTTTACAGCTGAGTTGCACTTAATTGAATGAATCAGGTTAACTGTGTACCTCAATTAAAAATATTAATTTAAGTCAGGATCCTTTTCCGAAAATTTCTGAATGTAAAAATGTTACCTCACTGTTTATGTCTGTCCTTGGCCAACAGTGGGAGGAGGTGAGCGGTTATGATGAAAACATGAACACCATTCGGACGTACCAGGTCTGCAATGTTTTCGACAACAATCAGAACAACTGGGTACGGACAAAGTACATCCGGCGCCGTGGTGCCCAGCGGATCCATGTGGAGATGAAGTTCTCGGTGAGGGACTGCAGTAGCATTCCCAACGTGCCGGGCTCTTGTAAAGAGACTTTTAACCTCTATTACTATGAATCTGATGCCGACACAGCCACCAGAACCTCACCAGCCTGGATGGAGAACCCCTGGATCAAAGTTGACACCATTGCAGCAGATGAGAGCTTCTCCCAAGTGGACCTAGGGGGCAGAGTGATGAAGATCAACACTGAGGTTCGGAGTTTCGGCCCTGTGTCACGGAATGGCTTCTACCTTGCCTTTCAGGACTATGGCGGCTGTATGTCGCTCATCGCTGTTCGTGTCTTTTACCGGAAGTGCCCTCGTATCATCACTAACGGGGCATTGTTCCAGGAGACACTCTCAGGAGCAGAGAGCACCTCCCTGGTGGCTGCAAGAGGTGTTTGCATCCCTAATGCAGAGGAGGTGGATGTGCCCATTAAGCTGTACTGCAATGGAGATGGAGAATGGATGGTACCCATTGGACGCTGTATGTGCAAGGCTGGGAACGAGGCTGTGGAGAATGGGACTGTGTGTCGAGGTATGTTTTGCTCTTGTAATAATTTCATTAAATCTGCTGAGCCTAAATCAGTCCGCTTTGCCCTTACACCAAGGGATACAATCCATACAGTGTAGTAGTAATGCATTCTTCACTGTAAGCTGTTACAGGGATCTATTCATTCCCATTCAATTGATGGTATAAGCCAGTGATATATGAACATTAGGGAACATTCTGCACATAGATTACTCAACAGAAGCCATTACCATATTTCCATAAAAATGAAATGCTGTTTATTTTCAAACAGAAATACAATGCTGGATATGGCAATGTCAACACGTCCTGAAACCTAATTGACAAAGTAGGTCGATTGTCAATGACCCCCAAAACAACATGACCGTTCCCCAAAATGACATGTACAAATCCAGCAACAGGCGTTCCAGACTTTTAGTAAATTACGTAAGTCACATGACGTTAAACACATGGTTAACGTTGTGAAACTGTCACAGTTTAGTTTAGGTAACAAAACTGCTTGGTTTGGGTTAAAATAAGTAAATAATGTAAGCTTTGTGACTTAACTCACGTGACAGAAGTCACCTACGCAATATTCCATCCATCCATCCATCGTCAACCGCTTATCCTGCGCACAGGGTCACGGGGAGCTGGAGCCTATCCCAGCTGACATCGGGCGAAAGGCGGGGTATACCCTGGACAGGTCACCAATTCATCGCAGGGCCACACATAGACAAACAACCAGTCACACTCACACCTAAGGTGAATTTAGGGTTAACAATCAACCTAGTCCGCATGTCTTTGGATGGTGGGAGGGACCATGGTTCGGACATCACCTTCTTGCTGTGAGGCAACAGTGCTATCCACTAGGCCACCGTGGTGCACCTTTGTAATGTTTTATAACTTAAATCTTTAAATAAGTCAACATTGATTTTATTTTATATGCAAAGAAGTGCATTAAATGCAGATGCAAGTGTCATTTTGTTAGCACGGTATATCTTCCATTTGAATGTGTTTTTTTCAGAATAAAAAGAATTTAAAGAAATTACAGCCTCCCCTTACAAAGAACCACCACTCTGTACACATTTAACAGTACTCAGAAATAAAAAAAAAAACATAAAATGTCAATCTGTAAAATGTCTGCGCTGACCTTTTGTTGGTAGAATGCCTCCTTCCATCCATGAGGACAAAGAGGATATTTTTCTAAATTGCCTCTACTTTCCTATCAATTGGAATCCCTTACAGGCAAATCGATTTGCCTTTTCAAAACATCAGTGTACCCAGTATTTACCTGTGCCATGCCATATCCGCACTCTGGCAGGTGGTAATTGGTCAACGTGCTTAGAGATCTTGATCACTTGAAACAGCACGACAGTGTGTAGCCTGCAGACCGGAACCGTGCTGCTTCAGCCCAGAACAACAAACCACCCACCTGCGTTTTAGATCGGTTTGTTGCTGCCTCTCTTATGTGCGCCTGTAATTACAACACATCCCCCAGTGTCTGTTTGCTGGGAGGGAAAACGTGATGGGTGCTGCCTCACAAACACTGCCAAGCCCGTTCAATGACTACTAATGAGGACAGGCACCAGCTCCTCCTTAAGGAATACAGGCCAATAAGAGGCACGTGAACATAGCTGCTCTGCTGTAGCATCCACATCCCCACATAATTACACAAATCTGCTTGTTTTTTGACCTATACTGCATGTGGTGGAGTGTCCTCAGTCATGGTATTTTTTGTGCTAAACAGGATTATACAATCAAATGCTGTCAGCTCAAAAGGGAAAAGCGTGTTTCATTTATATCCTTGCACCGCTGGGCATGGGACTTTTTTACTGAAAAAAACAATTGCATTTCACCTTCCATTTCTGACCATTTCTCCTTAACTGCTGCACACTGGCTTTGTTATCCAAGGTTCACCAGATGAAAAGCTATACTGACTGCATGCTCTCTTCTTCATTACCTTCACTGCAGTAGTGGAAGTTACACATTTGAGCACTGCAGAGCTCATAGACAAACTGTAGTGACCCTGATAGCACACATATGTGTAACAGACAGATTTTGACTCTGTCACTTGGTCTTTCCTGATCATGTGATGCACTGACTGAATATTAAAGCTTTATGAAAAGAACGCATTATTTGAGAGTGCAGCTGTGGAATGCAGCAAAACGCTATGCACGGAGATGGATTTTATGGCTTCATACAATAGTTATGAACCTCAGTGCAAACAACGGGCCAGTGTGTATTTTACCAAGCAAGAAAATAAAACCATAACAGTTACTAATGATATTTTTCTGTGGTCCCCCCTTTGTTCAGAAGCCCTTTTTGATGGAAGGCTGCCACCAGTTTCTCTCTGGTCATCTTCCTAAACACTGAAAGCCGATACAGTGCTTGAAACTGTGGTCACTCACCACCTTTCAACTGCCAGAAGTCGGATAATGAATTGATCTATGAAAGATGCGCCTTTGCCTGATGATATTATGGGGTAATGAACTGATTTGTGAGAGGTGCCCTCTGAAGGTTTGAAAGATATCCTTTTTCATAGATGGAGATTGGAGCAACAGAGACAGTATAAAGCAGCCAAAATGAAAGAGACTATTTGTACTATGATATTATTAACCCAACCAATGCTTTGTTCCAACATCTCTGTAACTAAACGTGTAATTACGCATATAACAATTAAATACTTGGCGGGGATCCTGGCAAATAATTATGCTGTCATGAAATCTGTCAAAATATTGACAGTAGAAGGGGGTGCTTACACCAAATATCTGAGGCATTTTTCTTTGTAAGATTAAGTTTCCTCTCTAAGAAGTGCTGGGAGTGAAGGAACCACACCAGGGCTTTTCAGCAGAGACAGCCCTGAAAAGAAAGATCCTACTTCCCCTCAGAGCCTTGAGGAGATGGTGCACCACAGACACACGTGAGGTCCTGTTTGCCCTTGCTGTTCACTCCAGAATGAAAAGCAGTCTCTTCAGCGGGGCACAATGAAAGCCATGTTCAGGGATGGAATTGCAAGCTCCCCATAACAATGCCCATGTGTGTTTTTTCACTGTAATCTGATCATCTAACCCCACGCTATTGTGAGTTCAAGGGTCTCAACTGTGGGAGCGTGGCTCATGTTAAAGAGCGGTGAAGATTCAGATACAGACAGTCTGTCACAGCAATACTAACAGCTTGATTCATGTTTTGGTAATGTTTTTGTTAATGGCAAATGTGTTTGGGGAGTAAAAGAAAAGCATTGCAAAACAAGCAGCTTAGTTTGTGTGGCGCTGTGGCCCAGATTTGCCTCGAGAGGAGTCAACACATAGCATCACACAGCATGACAGTGGATAAAGGAGTTTAACTTTTACATCTTCACACTTTTCCACTTGGAAATTATCATGTAAGAAATATTTTGATGACGAGACCAGTTAGTTTGCCTGAGAAAAAGGACTTCTAAGAGTTCTTAGAGTGTATAAAGACATTTAAACATATCACATACATGACTTAACGATTTTTACAATCTGTGCCAGTCCATAATGTTAAATCCTTAATATGGCGATTCTGTTTATCATATCCTCATCTCACCCACATCTACAAGATTCACATGCAAACTTATCTCCACATCCACAGGCTGTGACACTATTAAGAGTTCAATATACTGTATAATAGACATAGCATATTCAACTGAACATGCACGACAGGCCCCACAGCAAGTCAGTAAGTCACATGAATGATTTTTAGGTCACAGTGTGGAGAATTTGGAACAACACTAGTGCCTCTTTTAATGTCAGTCTCTTGGTGAGGTTTGCATCAGTGGTGGGTAGTAGTTGCTTGGAAGTGAGGTTCCTGCAGTTGAAACCCAGAGCAATTAGATTAAGGAGGAAAGGCTTCAGTACTTTTTCAGCCAAATGTGGTTGTAGATAATGCGAGTTAGGGGGATCGAGTGCAAAGGTAGGTGCTGGGCAGACATGATTGGATAGACATGATTGCATGGAAAAGAGGAGGAGAGGAGGAGCAGGCAGGAAATGAGTCCCCCTAACCCACTGTCAGGATCCCTATTATTGCAATCTCTGCGTCTGGAGAGGGTTTAAGGGTGGAAATCAGCATAGCACAGACAAATCCACACGGCTGCCTTTATTTCCCTGGGTGCCTCTGTCTTTAATGGCAGCTCTAATTGACTAACAGTGCACGTGGGGAACAGCCACGCAGATGACTGGATGACTATGCCCTGCGCTGGAACAAGACACAAGGCAAAACAAAACAAACACACCCCCTCAAGGCTTTTGCTTTGTGTATTGTGAAGGGACGTTTGCATTGGGTTGCAGTAACCGGGAGAGAGAGAGAGAGAGAGAGTGGGAGAAAATAAGAAACAGAGAGAGGAATATCAACAGTCTGCCTACACAAAAGGCAGAATATTATGTTAAAGTAAAAGCCACACTTATTCTTTTCAATAGATGGCTGCTTTGGCTGCTGTTAGGAGCTGTTTAGTTAAGCATAAGGAATACAAATTAGCTCCTGAACAGATGCTCATTACCACAACATTTGTTTTTTAAATGGCATCATGACTTCATTTCTGCATCATAGGCAATATAACTTAATTTCCATTATTGGTTTTTTCATTTAGACCCATTAAAGGGTCTGTGATGTGTATTTGATAGAGGTAGCCCCTTTGGTCTGTACACAGTGTAGGATGTTGTAACAGCAGGAGGCAAACAGGCGTGCTCTAAGACATGTCATTCTGTCCTCCGCACAGGCCCCAGGGAACATTCAGGAGCCTTTATTCCCTCTTCCCCACTGTGAAGGGATTTTAAGTACGGCCAGGTGCTTTTTTTCTCTGTCCGCCAGTCTTCTTTTTCCTCTGCGTGTTGTGCACCCTGCACACATCCATACAGTGAAGGAGAGACGAGAAGCGGGGGAGCCTCTAATGAGAAGAAGAGAAAAGTCTAATGAGAGAAAAACTCTAAATTAAACACACACACAGCCCTTCTAATATACATTGCAGTATAGTGAGTGCACAAATCACATTACAGTGAATGAACACATGCTCC